AGTGAGGAAAGGGTTCTGAGAGCCTTGGAAGTGATATTCGTGATCACCGCGAAATTCTCTATCGAATGGTGTATGAAGTGTCGAAAAATAAATTTCACTGCAAGGCTGCCCTGGGTGCATCTTACACTTTAAAAAGAAATGCTACTTAATTTGATCATAAGTTACATTTTTTTAGAGTGTACTTTCTATTTTTACGTGCTGCAGTTGTGCGATCTCTCTCTTCTTTTTGTATTACACTTTCTTCTATTATGTAGCTATGATACTTATTTACTTTTTAATAAAACACTTGCTAGTTAACTGTTAACCAACGTGCGGCTAGTAGTCATTCAACGATTAGTAAAATAACAGTAGAATACTGCAGATAAAGATCTGCATTTATATAAAAAGAATTTTCTATTGTTCTTTGTTGTGATTGGCTTTCCCTATAAAAAGCATTCCAGTGCGACACTGGTAAAAACTAATGTGGCACTGACAATGCACATAGCTTGCCACAGATCACTGGCTACCAGCGATGTGCACCAGTGCCCAGCAAGTGGCGATTGGTACCCGTGCACACCAGTATCGATATATCTCTGCCAAAAAAGTGCCGCACTAAAAGTCAGGGGCGCACTGGAATTTATCTAACCAGTTTAATTAGTTTTTTATTATGGTTGTTTAAACTGAATTTTGTATTAGAGTGCGGCACTGATCAAATAAAATATTTTTAATTATAAAGGTGATTTGAAGCTTGGAGTTGCATCAAAAATCAAGTTGAAGTTATGCCACCGTAGGCGCATGACTTATAACACATCTCATGTGTACAACTAACACATATGAATGAAAAATTCGTTGACTTTTCCCTAACATAACATCAAGTATATTCAAGTGGTTTTATATCTCCACGATGGTCTGTAGTACAGTATCATACGAACTTTCATTGCTCAGGCGCATAAAAAATTGGCATTAAATTACGTATCAACAGCTAGTTAACGATAAACTGCGTAACCAACAACTAAGTATCATTTACAAACTAGCAAATTTTGACAAATCTATTTCAGGTGGCTTACTCTATAAGTGTCTTTTCCAAACTTCATCACTTGTTGATCATCATAAATGAGTAGATACATTCGACCTTTTTAGGTCGAAAAAAGAATATCATCATGTTTTTCGTGTCAGTATTAACCTATATGGGTCATTTCTACAAAAAAAGAATGCAATTTTATTCGAATAAGTCATATGGCCTTCCTTCTTAATTCCTTTTTGATTATTATCGGTGCTTGAAAAACAAAAAAAGCACAACACCAAACTGACGTTAAACAATTTTGTATTGGACCACGAAATAACAATCAACAATAATCATGAAGTTTTTTCAACTATTGTGTATAATATTGGGATTCTTATGCATCAGCAGTGAAGGTGAGAACCGACGCACTTCAGTCAATATTTCTTCAATAGTTGTTTAATTGTTTCTAGATTGTGATTTTATTTCGTTTGATGATATTGGCTATGGTCAAGAACTAATACCTGATGGTTATAGACAATTAAATTGGTTTGGTGTACATTATTTGAAAAACGATGATGATTATATTTACAATGGTTATGCAGCAGCATTGACAAGTGGAAAATATATTGCATATATTGCTCATATTGAAGATGATCAATTGCAACTACCTACAATTAACAGTATTAACAATATAACAACGTTTAATGCTCGTTCGTTTATTGCTGCCGCAGCTTGGGCTAATGATATACAATTGTCAATAACTGGTTTAAATAATAATCAGATATTGTATGAAAAAACCGTAACAATTGAACAATTAGTACCTAGCATAGTTGAATTAAATTGGTCTAATATAGATATGATAACATTCAATACTTCTGGTGGCATACCAACTAACGGCTATAGTTTAACTAGACAAGTTGCATTTGATAATTTATGTATTGTCATGTAAATTATGCAATTAAAAGAATCTCTGTTTTAGAATTCGAATAATCCAACATATTTGTTTTTAGAAATCCTCCAGAATTCAAATGCCCAACAACCACATCAAGTGGATTGTATATAAATTCACTGGATTCTGAAACATTCTGGCAATGTTCAAATGGTATTCCATATTTACAACATTGTCCAAGTGGGTTGGAATGGTCTCAAGACAAACTAACATGCGACTGGAAAGGTATATGCTGATCTTTCCTTAAAATTCTCAATATAAAAAGCTTTTTTAGTATAAACTGAGATCCTCTACAAATCTTAATTATGCGAGATGACCTTCCGGATGTCACACAGGATCTGTATTCTACAAAAACACATGAAATGAGAAATATAATACGAAATATAGGGTTTTTGTTCGGTGCAACACATAGCTTTGAATGAAAACAAAGCATCGTATGGAACCAATCCATGTCACAAGAGTTGTGAAACAGATGAACCGTAGAGTTGACGAAATTAAGCATCGCACATTACACAAACCCCGGGAACGTTTTCTAGAATATTTTTAAATTGTGCGTATTATGAATTTCGGATATGAGAACTCGAATAACTCCTGTAACGTCGCGAAAATAAGACCGTTTCCGTTGAACGGCTTATGTAAATTGCCGTGCTCAATTACCACTATACACATTTTATTCTTTAGTTCCTACTACAACAATCGTAACTACCACCATCGTACCCCCAGGTAACATTTCTTTCTTTTCCCAAGTCATCTTTGGATTACACTCTTGTCGTTTTTTCTCCAGATTGTACGCTGATCACATTCGAGAATATACCATCAGACGACTATTCTGTTAGTAGTTGGATACCCTCTACATATCATGATTTGAGTTGGACAAATGTTTATTATCTTAATGTTCCATACCAAGAAGAACGACACGGTTGGTCTGGATATTCAAGTGCTTTAGCAAGTGGAGAATATGCAGTATTTAACAGAGGTGGCGAATCGATGACAATTAGTAAAGCAACAACATTCAATATCAATTCATTTGTAGCCGCTGCCGTTTGGGCACAAAATCTTAAAATTGATTTAACTGGATCAAACAATGGTTTAGTAGTATACAACAAAACAATTGTACTTCAGGTAACATCAGCGACGTTAGTTGAACTAAATTGGTCTAATATAGATACGATTCATTTTGAACCATACGATGGTGAAGCATATTCATATTTTATGTATAATACACATTTTGCTATTGATGATCTTTGTATTAAATTTCATTGATGTCTAGAAAAACATCAGAAGTATTTGACGTAATAAAATAAGAGTACTGGTAATTTCTTCTTTAGTCATTGAAAATCGTTTAACATTTAAAGTAAGATGTTTAAAAAAAACTATTTTAAGCGGAAAAAAATCATTATGTAGGGCGCAATGTCCACCCAAAACATAGGAAAATGCCCTCACCCTCACCCTATAGGGCAATTTTTAGAAACAATTTCGCCAAAATGTTCTCCTAATAGGAGATGGACTTCAAGTATGTGAAGAGTTACCGTTGGACTACTATCACGTAATAAATGCTGAACTATTCGGCTTGACTTCAGCATGTGAAGAATAACGGTTACAGGAGAAAGAACGGATCATTTAGCATTTGCCATTTTTCTCACGTGTCTGATATCGCATGTCTCCACGCAGTTCTATTTTGAAAAAAATTGTCGTTCAATTCTCTGCGAAACCGTGGTAAACAGTTCATAACATCCTGTCAGTGCGGAGTCATGACTTAAATCCCAATCAGGATAAAGTCCTGATCGCCCTATACGATTATCTAGATTGGGCTACAAATCCCGATCGGGATAATTTGTATAATTCGCCCGGTCTGTATAATCAATCAATCATATTTCTGGCCTCCGCTTAACAACCAAATAAAAAACGAACAATGCTATTTGAAAGAGGATTCAAAACTGATTCCGATTCCATGGGAGACGGAATAATCAGCTAGTTCATCACTTTTGTTCCACTTTTCTATATATTCTCGAATGTACGTTCAAACGAGCATGTCTTATCTACTTATAGGCTGGTTCATTACTCTCATTGAAAGACGCCACTTCGAAAAACGGTACCGACTGGCTTTTTCGAGTTTCTAAACTTTTTTCTACTTTTCTTCTATTTTCGACTCAAAATTCTGGTTTTTTGACTGCTTTTTAAAAATTTGAAAAACTCCTGAAAAATACAAAGTTGTCCGAAAATTTTAAAACTCACACTGAAGCTTCAATTTTGAGGGAGAAAATGGCGATATACGAGCCCAATTTTCAGCAGAAATGTTAAAACTTTAACAGAAGCGACATTTCTCAGGAATGCTTTATGATGATTCTACTTGCAGTATATAAATGTCAATTTACAACGCTTGTTTAATGATCAAGGCGTTTAACAATAGTTGAGTGCAGATATAGTTAACAGTACAGAACAGTTGACAGTGCAGAAAGATGTCTGCGGATAAAGTTTTTAACTTGAAGAAAAGGAAAAACATTAATTAAAGGGTTGATGCGAACTATGTAGAATGACAAATCACCGGTCCTTCTTATTAGTAATAAGGTGTAGGAACTTCAAAAGTTGAGCACTGTTTTGGTTTTCGTTAAATCTTACATCATTTGAAAGAACGCATCGACTGAGTAAGAAAAAGTTGGTTTTAGCTTTTCAAAGCGTTTTTTTCCAGTCGAATTTTCCCAATAACCCAGCTATTTTTAAAGTAAGTCAAATTCTCTTCTTCATCGTGCTTTTCAAGTTTTCAAACTAAGTTCTCCAGATTTATCATCAAAAGTGGTTTTAAAAATGATCTTGATTTGACTGCAATGAACTCAAAGGTGAAAAGTCGTTCTTTGGTGCTGCTATTGATCAAGTTGAATCGCCCTTTACTTTGCCAAAAAACTCTTATTTCTATATAAATTGTAGCCCAGACTTTGCATTACAAAACTCTAGTAGCAATATTTTTAACTTTTATGGTATTTTATTGAATTCATAATACTTTCTTTACACACACTTTGATGATTTAATGTCCGGTCATATAAGTAATGCCATATATGGACAAGTATTGATGAGAATTTGCATCAAAAACCAGTGATCGGCATATGCTCTCGCAGAAAAGCTTTTTTGTAGGTTTATATAGCGAAACTAAAAAGGATAAGTCTTTGGTGAAAAAAAGTCAGGTTTTAGCACTTCTAGTATTCAAATTTATTGTTGTGTTTCTCGGTAACTATTGAAGGTACAACCGAGAACTAATAATTGAAAAACGTCCCTGTCTTTGGTTTCATCAAGAACGAGATTCATAGCCTAAAAACAAAAGCAAATACGGGAAAATTCTGAACAAAACTGTTGCTTCAATTTTTGAAATTCGACGAAAAAGTTTTTTCGAAAATTTTGAGGCTCAGGGGGACCTCAGGGACATCGGAAAATGTTTTCTCAAAATGGGATAAAAGATACATCATACGACGCAAAATTTTATGCTGATCCCGAATCTGGCATAAAAAATGTCAGAAAACGCCATTTTGACTGAAAAAAATTGAATTTTCTAGAGGACACCTAAAATGACTTACCTTCTTTTCCAGCCATTTTAAGGTGCGAGAAGTTGCTGAGTTCGTCTGAAAAGCGACCAGTTATACTCGTCTTGATGCCTGGTTTCAGAATTTGGTCAAAAAAATTTTGGACTCTCTAATATTGTCTG